CGAGGGAGGAGGGAGCACTGCGAGGGAATAAAGTCTGGCTACCGTGTCAACAATTTCGTTGAGTGGGTCTGCCTGGTGACCGTGCACGTGCTGCCATGTAAAGCGACGTTTCAGACCCAGGACCTTGCACAGACTGTCAAGGCGACTTCTGTGCTCTATGAGTGGCTCGGCCACAGTACCGCCTTGGGCGGTAGAGACCACGCCCATGTTGTCTGAGTGAAAGGTGAGAGGAACGGTGGGAGGAAGCGGGGACTGAAGGGCCCATAGCGCCGCCCAGGTGGCGGCATCGAATTCTGCTTTGGCAGAGACTCTCGTTGCTCCTGTCATCTCCGGTGTGGGACACCCGAGGAAGCCGAGGAAGTGACGAGTGCCGTTGCCTTGCAAAGACCAAAAAAGCCCATGCTGGCGGGCCAGCGAGATCTCCTTTGGAGGCCCCTCCACTGGCGTCGGTGTATATATCCGCGGAGTCGAAAGCCGCGTAGGGTGTGTCAAAGGCGAGGCTGTGCCATGTAGGGAGTGAGGAGGAGTGGAGGGCGGGAAAAATGGCATCAAAATCCCTGACCAGCTGGATGGAGGTAGCCGTGAGAACCGGTAGCATCCATCCCATGGGCGGGAGCGGGCTGCGACGTATGCCTTGTCGTCTGCCCAGGTTCACCCGTGGGCAGTGTCCAGGGGGGCGACCTGAAAAACCGTGCCGTCGCGCGCTGCCTGGGCCAGGTCGTCCTGAGCAGCCTGTGCTGCGTGGGCCTCGGCTTCGGCTCGAAGGTCCGCTGCCTCTGCGTCTGCCATTGCATCGGCGAGACAGCGGGAGGCAGCTGTGGCGGGGTCCCCTGCACGGGACGTCAGCTCGGCCTCGGCTGGCGCTCGCCTGGGGCGGCGGGAGCCGCGAGGGCTCTTGCTGCGTGCCGCCTGCTTGCCTTCAAAATCTTCCTCGCTGATGCCTGAAAGCGTGCGCTCGTCGGCCTGACCCGCGCGCGCAGATCTGCCCCTGGCCTGGGCGCTTGCGCTGCGGCGTGAGGATGCCATGGTGACTGGCTCCCCTTTATCATCAGAGAGGTCCCATCCGAGCTGGCTGGCAGAACGGGTAGGCGGGGGCAGTTCGTTAGGCTCCCCTACGGAAGCTGCTGCTGGGCTCGACTGGTTGGTAGTGGCCTCTCCTGGTGGCGCAGTGGTGGACGCCTCCCCTGTCGGCGTCTCGGGCACTGGCGCTGGCCCAGGTTTAGGCACAAAACCTAGACGGAAAAGCGGGCCCGCTTTGACGGGAGCGCGGGCTTGTTCAGAACCTGACGGTGCGGTGGCCCCCCCCCGGGGCGTGGCACCGTGGCTAGAGACGGCGGCTGGCACTAGTTGCCCGGCCTTGATCTGTGAGGCTAGGGTGTCTACTGCATTGCGCATGGCCTGGGCCTGGGAGTCAAAACTTGCCTTGATGGTCGCTACCTCCCTGGCCATGGCCTCGGCGTTGCTCTGCATGGCCGCGGCGAGTGAAGTGATGCAAGGCTGTTCCAACCCTTGGAAGCCTGGGAGGGGCGCGGGGCATTGGAGGAGCGGAGGGGAGGGCGGCGCGGCAGTGAGGGGCGTGGCCGTTCCTAGGTCGGGCGTGCCGTCTCGATCTTCGCCCGCGTGCGATGCAGAGAGTGCCGCAGAGCGCTGCACTGCTCCAGGCTCGACCGCCGCCTCCCCCATCATGGGCGAATCAGTGATGGCAGCGATTGGCGGCGCCTGCGATTTGAAATAAGCTAGTAATGCAGATGCCTGGCTGAGGTCCGCTTGCGCGGTTTGAAGGGCCAGGGCGAGGTTGCGCACGTGCTCCTCTGCCTGAGCTTGCTTAGCAGCCAATTGCTCACAATCGGCATGCAGAGAGGCGACCACGTGCTCTTGCTCGCTAATCTTGGCTAGCGGATCCCTCGCATTGGCCAATTGAAAATTAACTAATGAAATCTCCTTACGGATCTCGGTGATACGCATATCGGAGTGTCCTAGGAGGGTTGAGGCCCTGAGCTGCAGGATCAGCGCATCCTTGCCCATGGCAAGGGCCTTGCGGTGCTCCAGCAGGCGGTCGGGCTCTAGCGGGGGATAAATCCAGGCTGAATGAGAGTGCGCCTCGTCTGGGGTGAGGATAAGGCATTGCGCTGTGAGCTCTGCTACTGAGAGCTCAGTGGCAGGATCCAACGCGCCGAGAGAGGAGAAGGCTTGGTCGGCCATGAGGAACGGAGACTGCTGCACAGAGGCAGGGCCGAAGAGTGCGGGGGAGGTGGCCTCGCCTTCGGGAGGAGGCGCAAAAGGCGAAGGCTGCGAGCGGGGAGACTGCCCGATGACTCCCGTGTCCTTGGCGCCGTGCGGGGTGCCAGGGGCCTTTGAGGCGGGCTGCCCCCCTTCGCTGCGCTGGGCCTCACGGGCCCTGCGAGCCTCGTCCTTCCCCCGCTTCTTGCGCTCCTTGCTGGAGAACACTTCTGGCTGGACCGTGTGGTCTCCTGGGGGTGCGGGGAGTAAGCCGTACTCCGCTGCCCATGCAGCCACCTGGTCGAAAGATGGCGGATTTGACGGAGCATGGCCTTTGCCCATGTGTGCCCCACCCGTGCTTCCAGAAAAGGAGCGTGGGCCCTTGTGGCCCGGCCATGGGCCCGCACCTTGCAGGGGCTTGTGCTGCTCCTGACCTTTGGCGGGGCCGGGTGTCGCCTGCTGGGGTCCTGCCGCCCGAGTCGGAAAACAGGTGGGGCATGAAACGTCAAAAGTGGTATTGGCCCGGCCGCACTGCAGGCAATACCAAAGCTCGGGAGGGGCGCTGCCTTTCTGGTGCACTGGCTGCTGGGGGGGAGGAAAAAAGTCAGCAGGCAGGCGCGTGGCATATAGGGACGGAGAGGGAGGAGCAGCCATACGCTGCGTGGGGGAGGTAGCCATACCGTGCTGCTGCAGCCCTGACGTTGGCGAGAGAGGCGACGCGCGAGGCGGGGGCAAGGTCGTGGGGACAGCGCCTTGCTGCGGGAGGCCCTGGAAAGAGTGGTGGTGAGAGAGCATCATTGCGGCTTTATGCACTCTTAAAAGTGTGCGGGCGTTTGCGCGCTGTTTGCGCGCTCTGCGATGATGAGCGGGCTCGTCGCGAGGCCGCTGGGGGTAGGAGGGAAGAGAGTAAGCAGGCGTCGCGCCTGGCGGGTGGCGGCCCTTTCGGGCGTCGCGGCGGGGATCGGCGCGGAACCGGTTTGCTAACCGCTCGAGCCAAACCTGAAAGAGGAGGGGGGGGAGGGGGAGAGGGGGGGGGGGGCAAGCTAGCTGCGCTCGCGTCATATCTGACGTCCTACCCCTCCCTCCCATCCCTTACCATGGCGCTGATTTTCTCTATCCGCGGACGCGTGTCGTAGCGGACTTGTGGCTCCGCGCGCGCGTGCGTAGTGGGTGGTGGTGCGCGTGCGTGCGTGCGTGCGTGCGTGTGTGGTTGTGGTTGTGGTTGTGGTGGTGGTGGTGGTGGTGGTGGTGGTGGTGGTGGTGGTGGTGATGGTGGTGGGTGGTGGTGCTGGTGGTGGTGGTGGTGTGGTGGTGGTGGTGGTGGTGGTGGTGGTGGTGCGGCGCGGTGGTGGCGGGCGGATGGGCGCGCGAGAAAGAGGCCCGCGCTGGGGCGAGAACGCCATCCTGAACGACGGAGGCCAAACACCGATCCGAAAATGAGGCCCACGCTGCAGCGGGAGCACGATTCGGAACGATTCGGGAGCAGAAATGAGGCCGGCGCCTCAGCGAGAGCAGCATTTTAGAAAAAAAACACAAGCGAAAACCCAACTCCGGGGAATCCTGTGTGTAAAAAAACAGTACGCGGGGGGGTGCCGAACATCTTCCGGACGCCATCAGGGGAAGTGGGAGAGTAGTATTCATATTGTGTAATTGTACAGGAGAGAGGGGGGGGGGCAGGAGAGAGGGGGGAGGGTGGGGGAAAGGAGAGAGGGGGGACAGGAGAGGGGGGGGGAGAGGGGGGGAGAGGGGGGGGTAGAGGGAGGGACAGGAGAGGGGGGGGGGGGGGAGAGAGGGGGGGGGAGGGGGGGAAAGGAGAGAGGGGGGGGGCAAGCTAGGTGCGCTCGCGTCATATCTGACGTCCTACCCCTCCCTCCCATCCCTTACCATGGCGCTGATTTTCTCTATCCGCGGACGCGTGTCGTAGCGGACCTGTGGCTCCGCGCGCGCGTGCGTAGTGGGTGGTGGTGCGCGTGCGTGCGTGCGTGCGTGTGTGGTGGGTGGTGTTGGTGGTGGTGGTGGTGGTGGTGGTGGTGGTGGTGGTGTGGTGGTGGTGTGGTGGTGGTGGTGGTGGTGGTGGTGCGGCGCGGTGGTGGCGGGCGGATGGGCGCGCGAGAAAGAGGCCCGCGCTGGGGCGAGAACGCCATCCTGAACGACGGAGGCCAAACACCGATCCGAAAATGAGGCCCACGCTGCAGCGGGAGCACAATTCGGAACGATTCGGGCGCAGAAATGAGGCCGGCGCCTCAGCGAGAGCAGCATTTTGAAAAAAAACGCAGGCGAAAACCCAACTCCCGGGAATCCTGTGTAAAAAACAGTACGCGGGGGGGGGTCGGCTACTTTCAGGCCGCCATCGGGGGAAGAGGGAGAGTAGAATTCATATTGAGTAATTGCACAGGAGAGAGGGGGGAGGCAAGAGAAAGGAGAGGGGGTGAGGGGAGCGGGGATCATCACCATCACCATCACCATCACCATCACTTTCGTCACATCACCACCATCATCATCACCATCACCATCACCATCACCATCACCATCATCATCATCATCAACATCATCATCATCATCATCCGCATCATCATCAGCAATATCATCATCATCGTCATCATCATCATCAGCATCAGCATCAGCATCAGCATCATCCTCATCCTCGTCCTCATCCTCATCCTCATCCTCATCCTCATCCTCAGCATCATCAACATCAGCATCAGCATCAGCATCAGCATCAGCATCATCATCATCATCCGGAGCGCCCCGGATCGGCGGCACTGGCCGGAGGCCACTACAATATACTGGTAGAGACGCATCGCTAGGCGCACACTCGCCTGGTAAGTAATCCAATGGCGCGCACGCAAAACTTAGCGAAATTCCTCGCTGCCCCTGGATTCTAAGCCTCAGCCTAACCGAACCCTCAGCCTAAGCCTGAGCCTCAGCCTGACATAAGGTTCAACCTCAGCCTAAGCCTCAGCCTAGCCTCGTCCCCAGCCTCAGCCTCAGCCATAGCCTAGTCTGAGCCTCAGCCCTAGTATTGCTGATACAATATTCGGTCTTACTATTACCACAGTACTGCAGCAATGCTACACATGAGCTACTTTAGTACTACTGCCCCGACAACGTCATTACAGCTACAGAAGTACGCCCGTACTAGAATACTGCTACACGATTGAAGTATTGCAATACTGTACTGCTCCCCCAGGCAACACTACAATGCTACCCCTACTGCTGCACCATAGTATTACTTCGGCGTCAACCGAATTTTACTGATGCAATGCAACGACGGCGTTGCAGTACTAGGGTACTTCTTCCATTCTTGAATTCTCCAATGCTAGAGATCCAATGGTACTACTAGTACTACAACAACAACAACTACTACTACTACTACTACTACTACTGCTACTACTAAATACTACTACTACTACTACTACTAGTACTAGTACTAGTACTAGTACTAGTACTAGTACTAGTACTAGTACTAGTACTAGTACTAGTACTAGTACTAGTACACTAGTACTACTACTCTGCTACTACTACCACTACCACTACCACTACCACTACCACTACCACTACCACTACCACTACCACTACCACTACCACTACCACTACCACTACCACTACCACTACCACTACCACTACTACCACTACCACTACCACTACCACTACCACTACCACTACCACTACCACTACCACCTACTACACTACTACACTACTACACTACTACACTACCACTACCACTACCACTACCACTACTACACTACTACCACTACCACTACCACTACCACTACCACTACCACTACCACTACCACTACCACTACCACTACCACTACCACTACTACTACTACTACTACTACTACTACTACTACTACTACTACTACTAGCACCGAACACCTCGATGCCTCGAGGGGGCCGCTACCATGACCTTCCAGGAAGGCTAAAATAGCACCGGGACGTCGACGTCCTCATTCCTGTCGAGGGGTGAGGCAATACCTCGGACCTCGGCGCCGCGCACTGCCCCCCTGAGCCTCACTCGGCGGCGTCCGCCCGGACGCCCTCCTGTGCCAGGGCCAAGGGGAGGGGTCACCACTATTTCGGGGGGTCGCCACTTCCTCGACGCCCCCTTGAAAAATGAACCCGCCGGAGCCGCCCAGAGCGCCGAGGCGCCCAGAAGCGCCCAACAACCTTCTCGACCCTCGGTCCTGGAATCTCGATTTCCGGGACAGGTTGGCGACCCCCCTCAGCGGCGACCCCCCCTTGAGGCGGTGCCTGACCTCCATCAGCGGCCCGGCGTCGTGACCGCGGGCGCCCTGCGAGCGGCGGCGCCGCGCGAACGCCGCGAGCAGCACGAGCAGCGCGAGCGCGGGGGCGACCAGGAGCGCCCAGGCCAGGGCCACGGCACCCGCGGCGGCACGCTCCTCGCCGGGCGCCGCGCCACGGAGGGGAGCGCGGCGCTGGGAGGGTCCAGGGAGGATCGAGCCTCGAGGCTCGAAGCTGCCTGGCCAGGAAGACTGGTACGTTAGGACCCCAGGGGGGTCCAGGGACCCATTTTGAGCGGAGTTTGGGTCGGGCCCTGGCGACGCAAAAAGCATGCAACGGGCGCTTTTGTCGACGTACTCGGCCTCCTGAGGAAAAGCCGGCTCTGGGAAATTGTCGAGGCATCCGGGGGCCCACACGTGCGAAGCAACTTGCGACGTCGGAAGAGACGGTCTCGTGCCCCGGGCTCGTCTCTGCGAGCCCCGCGGCGCGAGGACGGGCCCCCCGGGGCGACGAGCCTCGAGCGATGTCTCGTCGATGTCTCGTCGTCGATCTGTCGCCTATGTTTCGGGGGGTCGCGAACGCGACCCGTGACCCCACCGCGATCGCGGCCGCGGGGCGCCGCGCCGACTCCGCCGCCGCCGACGTCGCCGCCGCCGTCTCCGCCGCCGTTGCCGTCGTCGCTCCTCGGCCTCGGGCGCCGCGCAGTCCTTGTTGCCGCCGGGCCCGACCTGCCGCGTCATGAGGTGGACGGGCATGTACTGCGTCTCGAAGAGGGCAGCACCCATGCTCCAGTCGGCGGTCTTGCCGTCGAGCTTCCGCGCAAAAACGATGTTCGAAGAGGGAAAACCGGCGTGAACATAAACTGTCGGAGATCAGCACTGGACCAACTGGCGGCGCAAAATACGCCGCCCCCGACGCGCTCCAAGCTCCAGGGAGGGGCATCCGCGCCGATCCAAGAAATCCGCGCGGACCTCAGAGAGTTTATGTTTGCGTCGTTTTTTCTTCCCCGTGATGTTGTCGGCGTCGTCCGCGAAGCCGTACGCCGTGAGGATGTGGAACATGTAGAGGCCCCCGAAACAATGATTCTTCTTGTATTTCCACGGCGCCGCGGAAGCCGCCTCCGCGTCTGCGAGCGGCATCTGGCAGAAGCTCTTGGCCTTCTCCAGAATAGCCGAGGGACTCAGACTCTTCGATTCGCTCCAGCCGATCAGGTCCAAGCCATTGGCGATGTAGAAAAAGTTCGCGATGGCGTAGTATGTCTTCGACTTGATGACCTTTGGCATGTGCACGCCCATGAGCGCGCACGGTTCAAGCAAACACTCATACTCCAAATGGAGGAGCCCTTGGACAATGGCATCGCAAGCAGTAGGGTCGCCGGACCCAACGAATGATACTTGTTTCCCGTCGATCTCCGCCGATTCGTTGTACCCCTTGTTGTAGCAAGGATACACCACCTCGGTCTTGCCAGCGCCCGCTTGCTTTGCCGCCGCCACCATGGCACGCTGCACAGCCGTCGCGAGGCCGAATTTGATGAAGCTCTTCGCATACACGGACATCCGCTTCTCGTTCACGTAGAAGGAGAACTCGTTAGACATGATGTCCTTACCAGGGTTGAAGGCCACCTGCATCGACGCCCCGCCCATATCTAAGATTCCGGAGGTCTTAGTGTACCCCTGGAAGATAGTCCCAAGAATGAAATTCATACTGATCCACGCAAAGACTGCCTCTTCTTCACCACCCAGTACCTCGGATCCCATGTATTTGAAAGGATTCACCGAAACTGTTTCAGAGAGGTACTGGTCCAACGACGTAAACATTCCCCCCAACTGCTCCTCTGGAACAAGGCGCATGCCGGCCGTCGCTTTGATCCACAGAGGCGTTGTGGACCGGTAAGATTCAGGGACGTATTTCGCTGCCGCTTGGAGCAAAGCAGTCAAAGAAGGCCCCGCGTCATCGGGATTTCCTGCGTAAGATGACAGACCAGGCTCCGTCTCAAAGCTGTCCTCGTCCTCCTCGTGTGGTTTGATCTCTTCCACGCCATCTTCCGTCTTGTTGTACATCCGCAGACGGCTGCCCGAGGAGCCTGCGTCGACGACGAGGGAATACTGGGGTGAATCAACGAAAGTGTCCAACACGGGCGCACCGAAAACTGGCCTGAGCACGTACGAGATGACAAGAAGGCCCGACGGGGACAGGGCCGGCATCGGGCCCGACGCGGCGCGAGTCTGGAGCGGGTGGTGACAAGATGATCGGTCCCGGCGAAGTGGGAGGGGCAACAAAAACAGAGCTCGCGCCAAACCTGGGCCAAACTCGGGCCAAAACGGCAACGGAGGCCGCCGCAGGTCCGCCCGAGAGGCCCCCGCCGGGAGCCGCCCAGGAGCGGCGAGGGGCCCGAGGGTCTCTCGGCGGGCGCGCACGGGCAGCCGGGGCAGGGGGGGGCGCAGATGGGACGCGGGTGGGGGCACGGATGGGACGCGGATGGGCAAAACAAAACAAAAAGAAAGGAAAACAGTAAACAATATGCCACATATGGGACGGTCGTCGCGCAGGCTGGCCAGAGGAGGCGATGGAGGGCCCCCCGCTCTCTGTGGCCGTGGCTCAGCCATGCGCTGCCACGGGCAGAAGCACGCTTCTACCCGCGTCCTGGGCGTTTGTTTTGTATTCCTTCGCCACCCGCTCCTTCTTTCTGTTTCTTCCTTTCTTTCTGACGCCTCTAACCACGCCGTGGCCCTAAGTTTTTGGAGAATGCTTGTATTGGCTTGTTCGGCCTTCCGACGGCCCCGACGGCAAGGTCGCCCCAAGATCGCCCCAGATGCCTCCTAGACGGCCCTAAACGGCCAGAAAACAATTCAGTGCACTTTGGGGACCCTGGGACCCCCCTACCCATAGACATATACACACACACATATATATATATATATATATATATAGATATATATATGTGTATACACATGTATGTGTACACACACATATATATATATATATATATACGTGTATGTATTCAGCTATATATATGTGTATATATAAATACACTAGAACCATCGCGCGCTTCGCGCGCGCTCAGGTTCTAGCTACGCTGTATAGGTTAACGCATGGAATATCATGTTTGACGCTCCTTGCACCCAGTGGCTTTGTTGGAGGCCCTGCGCAAGCCTCGGAAGCGTATAGAATGGAACATGCGAAAACGCACAAATCATAAATTTCCTTCAGGTATTCGACGATTAGGGGCCCTGAAAGGCTTCCTGGGATCTTTCTTGGGTGGTGACGGAGGCCTTAATTGGGGTATGTTGTTAAATATTCGCAGGCCCAACAGGCGAAGGGCGTGCTACGATCTCTGGTGACTGGTCAACAATAGTCTAGTTCGCGCGCGCGGGGCAGCCCCTGGGGGTCCCCGGACGAAAAATACCCCGGGACACCCCCGGGACACCCGGGGGACACTCGGATCAGAGATGCCAGACCGGGCAATTTTTCGACACCACTCACGAGGATCGTGGACTCCGAGGGGAGGGGCGCAATCGACTACCCCCCCTCCTGACCCAAGAGGTCCCCAAGACTGTCCAAGAGGCCCCCGAGACGCCCAAAGAGCGCTCCAAGACGCCGATGATGACAACAAGACAGCCCAAAAAGGCCTCCAAGTGGCCTCCAAGAGGCCTCACAAGAAGGCCCGAGAGGCCAGAATCCTCAATTTCACTATGGCTTTGGAGGGATTTTGGCCTTGTCGCCTTTTCGGCCATCCGATGCTCCAAGACGGCCCAAGAGGCCCCCAAGAGCGCCCCAAGACGGGCCAAGAGGCTTCCAAGAGGGCCCCAAGAGGGCCCAAGAGGGCTCCGAGACGGCCCAAGAGGCGCCCAAGACGGCCCAAGACGGCTCAAAGACGGCCCCAGGAGGGGCCCAAGAGGGGGACCACGAACCGAAAACTCCAGCCGTCCGCCCCAAGAGAGCCCCAGGAGGCCCCGAGAGGCCCCCAAGAGGCCCCCAAGAGGCCCCAAGATGCCGCCAAGAGGCCCCAAGAGGCCCCAGGAGGACCCCAGGAGGCCCAAAAGAGGCCCCAAAAGAGGCCCCAGAAGTTCAAAAATGTCTCCCAGGCGCCCCCGAACGGCTTCTCAAAAGACCCCAAGAGACCTCCCAAAGAAGCATCTTGACGACGACCCTGTTTGGCCCCAAGAGCAACACAAAATGCCAACGAGAGTCTTCCTCCTCCGCCCCGTCCCCTTTCTCCTCCTCCTGCTCCTCCTCCTCCTCCTCCTCTACCTCCTCCTCCTCCTCCTACTTATCTTCATCCTCCTCCTCTCCTTCTCATTCCTCCTTCCCCCCTCCCCTCCCCCATCCTCATCTTCCTCCTCCTCCTCGCCGGCGCCACAATGGCCCCGGGCCCACGGCGAAGCAGTAGCGATCATGTAACATGGGCCGGCGGAATGAGCGAAACGATTGAATAATACACCAGGGGCGACCTTGAAAAAAATGGAATTGTGGACATTCATTTGTTTGAAAATTCCCGTGCCAAGGGTGTGGGTCAGAAGTCTCCTGGATGCATGCCATTGTCTGTTGGGATGCCTTTCGGAGCCTTCTTGGCGGCGTCTTGGGAGATTGTTCGGGGCCTGTTAGGGGGCTTGTGGTACCTCCTTGGAGCCTACAGGGAGTGTCTGAAGGCATATTGGAGGCGCCTCGAGAGCCTTTGGGAGAACCCTGGGGCCATCTTAGGGTAAAGCGCTCGAAAGGCTTGGGCAGGTCCCCTCTTGTGGCTCCCTCCTGGCGCGCGCGCTCAACTTCTAGCTATGCTGGACAGTTTAACTCATGGGATCTCGAGTCTGGCCGCCTTCTCCCCAAGAGAGCACGAAGACGGCCCAAGAGAGTTCCAAGACAGCGTCAGAGAGTTCAACAGCATGCCCGACAAATCTTCGAATTGTGACCCCGAAGTCTTGATGGGGCTCGGGGTGAAGTTCAAAAAAGGGAATCGCTGGAATTCCCTAGTTTCAAGTCGGGTCTCCTACCATGTAGTGCGCAGGAATAAGGGAGGCTAAGAGGCAGGGGGTTCCTTGCGGGCTGTTTTTTGGCCTCGTGGGTTTGTTTCTTGGGCCTATCAAAGGTCTGGGGTTTGTTGGGGGCCTCTGGTGGACCCTGCAGGCCTCTCGTGAGCCTCTTGGGGCATCCTGCTCCGCCCTCGGGCCATTCTTGGGCCTGTCCTGCGGCCCTCCTGGGCCGTCTTGGGCGCCCCTTGGGCAGTCTTGAGCTATCTGGGGCCGTCTTGGGCCCTCTTGGGGGTTTCTTCTTGGGCCGTCTTGGGGTGGTCTTGGGAGGCCTCTTCGGCTGCCTTGGAGCGTTGGAAGCTTGAAAACGCGAGAAGGCCAACCACCTTGGAACCAAACAATGCAAATCAACGATTCGGGTATCGGTCGGGCTCTCTCGGGACGTCACTTGGAGCTCTCTTGGGTGAGTTTTCGGGCCTCGTAGGGCCTTTTTGGGTGACTCTCATGGGTCTGGGGTTTGTTGGAGGCCTCTGGCGGGTCCTGGATGCTTCTCGGGGGCCTCTGGGGGCCTCCTGCTCCCGCCCTCGGGCCCATTTTGAGCGGTCCTGGGGCGCTCTTGAGCCGTCTTGGGCGCCTCTTGGGCAATTTTGAAGGTCTCTGCGACCGTTTTGGGCTTGGAGCGGTTGTGGGGGCCTCTTCGGCTGCCTTGGAGCGTTGGAAGCTCGACAACGCGAGAAGGCTAAACGCTTCAAAAAGCAAACGACAATGTAACGATGTTACCCTCTTCGGGCTCTCTCGGGATGGCTCTCGGAGCTATCGTGGGCTAGTTGTCGGGCCTCGTGGGGCCTTTTGGGTGACTCTCATGGGTCTGGGGTCTGTTGGAGGCCTCTGGGGGATCCTGGAGGCCTCTCGGGGGCCTCTTGGGGCCTCCTGCTTCGCCCTCGACCCTCTTTTGAGCGGTCCTAGGGCGCTCGTGGCCCGGCCCGTCTTGTGCGCCTCTTGGGCAGTCTTGAGGCTCTCTGGGGCCGTCTTGGGCTCTCTTGGGGGCCTCTTCGGCCGTCTTGGGGCGGTCTTGGGAGCATCTTCGGCTGTCTTGGTTGGAAGCTCCAAAAGGGAGAAGGCCAACAACTCCTTAGAAATTAACCTGGCGAAGGACCCAACCACATGTAGTTGTGAGTACCGCAATTCTGCATATCTTCTTTGGTGTTCCTTATGGGGCCACGAAGCGTTGTACTGGGTGTGTGATACGCAGGGAACAAGGGCTGTGCTGGGTGGTGGCTGACGCATGCGGGCGGTGCCACTGGGGCCTTCGGTGGAGCTCCCTATGGGGCCACGAAACGCTGTACTGGGTGGGCGAAACGGAGGGAGCAAAGGCTGTGCTGGGTGGTGGCGGACGCATGCGGGCGGTGCCATTGGGACCTTCGGTGGAGTTCCCTATGGGGCCACGAAACGCTCTACTGGATGGGTGAAACGCAGAGAGCAAGGGCTGTGCTGGGTGGTGGCTGACGCATGCGGGCGGTGCCACGGGGACCTTCGGTGGAAATCCTTATGGAACAACGAAGCGCTCTACTGGGAGTGCGAAACGCAAGGAGCAAGGGCTGTGCTGGGCGGTGGCCGGCGCATGCGGGCGGTGCCACTGGGACCTTCGGTGGAGCTCCCTATGGGGCCACGAATCGCTGTAATGGATGGGTGAAGCGCAGGGAGGAGGGGGAGGAGGGCCACGAAACGCTGTACTGGGTGGGGGGGACGCATACGGACGGTAGACCTGGAACCTTCGGTGGAGCTCCCTATGGGGCCACGAAGCGCTGCACTGGGTGAGTGAAACGCAGGGAGGAGAGGGAGGACGGCCACGAAACGCTGTACTGGGTGGGGGGGGACGCATGCGAGCGGTAGACCTGGAACCTTCGGTGGAGCTCCCTATGGGGCCACGAAGCGCTGTACTGGGTGGGTGAAACGCCAAGAGGAGAGGGAGGAGGGCCACAAAACGCTGTACTGGGTGGGGGGGACGCATGCGAACGGTAAACCGGGAAGCTTCGGCGGAGCTCCCTATGGGGCCACGAAAACATGTATTGGGTGGGTGAAGCGCAGGGAGGAGGGAGAGGAGGGCCACGAAACGTTGTAGTGGGCGGGGGGGACGCATGCGAGCGGTAGACCTAAAACCTTCGGTGGAGCTCCCTATGGGGCCACGAAGCGCTGTACTGGGTGGGTGAAACCAGGGAGGAGGGGGAGGAGGGCCACGAAACATTGTACTGTGCGGGAGAGAGGGACGCATGCAGACGGTAGACCTGGAACCTTCGGTGGAGCTCCCTATGGGGCCACGGAGCGCTGTCTTCGGCGTGGGGGACGCATGCGGGCACCCCCACTGGGGCCTTTTGTGGAATTCCGGATGGGGCCACGAAACTCTGTGCTGGGCGTGGGGGACGCATGCGCCTCCCCCCATTGGGGCCTTCGGTGGAGCTCCCAATGGGGCCACAAAGCGCTGTGCTGGGCGTGAGGGCGCAT